TTGTTACTAAAAATATGTGACATTATTTTGTCATTACATTTTTATTGAATTCATTTAAATGATGTCTAAATATATGATAAATTGAATAAACCAAATATCAAAATGAATAAAATTGTTTTCAAATCTTAGAATTTTCTTAATATAAATCTATTTACTGTATATATAAATATTTTATACCTTTCTAATAATAAAATTATGTTATTTAAAGATTATAAAGAATTATTTTTATGAGTTACTACAATAAACAAAAATAAAGTATTTGATACCTGTTAAAATATTAACAGTACTGTAGTCACAAATAATTGAACTGACAATACTCTGCATTAGTATATTTTTAGAGAAAATAAGTGTAATATTATTATAGTAAAACTAAATTAGTATTTACTATAATAATATTACACTTATTATTATAGTAAATACTAATTTAGTTTTACTATAATAATATTATAAATAATATTATAGTAAAACTAAATTAGTATTTAAGGATTACTTTCAATTTGATTCCAATAGATAACTCTCAAGAGTAATATACAGAAATCTAAGATTTTGTCTGACTATCAAAGTGGAAGCTATTAAATAATTGATTAGAAAATATATTACATAGCATATTAACTTACATACTATAGTCCAAATTTCTTTAAATGATTGAACTATTTTTAGACATCCATTGATTGTAAATGATTATGAATAAATAATTAATAAATGAACATACAAAGGTATGGGGTGATTCATAAATTAAAAATTATTACATTTACATTCATTCAACAGAATATTTTGAAAAAATAGTCAATGAACTTGATAAGAATTTATACTTATCGCTTGCTTTCACGTTACTTACATCACGATCACAGTCTGAATAACAACAGAATTACTAATTTATTTAATTACAGATTTTGTGGCATTAGTTTCCTCAGAGACGCTAATTTTGTTGAATAATAATTGTCTGAAAGAATGAATTAGTATTGATGTAAAGGAAAACATTTTGTATAATGGATACATATTTTCCATATCTGTATAATTAGTATATATTAAAACTTATAACAATACATTTCCCTTACTAAACATGTCTTCCTTTCTCTACAAATGAATACTTTTATAGTATTATGAAAGAGTGGATGAGTTGTAGTTTTTAATGTAATAATATTAGAATATATATAGAATATAGTATATATAGAATATATACTTTATTTATTGTATGAAAACTATTTAAATAAATGACTATAATGTTTACACATTTGACATATAATTTCATAAAGTAGTTTAACCAAAACACTGCAATTATCGCTATTATCAATATGTTTGCAATGATATATTCAACAAAAACTAAGCTAGTAAAAATTCTGTCAACCTTTAAGTGAAATACTATTGTTTAGTTTCTGTGACGACAATCAGATAAATTTCTCAATGACTCCCAAATATTATTATTATTGACATATTGTGTGAAATGAATAAATATTGAGGTGTAAATTAAGTAAAACATAAATATATTGTCTTATTTATAATAATGGATAAAATACGGCAAACTCTGGGCAGCTCTGGAGAATCAACAGATGATTCGGTAATTATATTTTATATACTACTTACTGTATAGTATAGCATAAAGTCTTTCAAACATAAAATGAATTCTAGTTTAATACCTGAAAATGTCATTTTATACATAGAAATCCTCAATTGATAAATCACTAAATGATTTTCTAAATGTTATTGTACAAATAACCTTATTGATCATATCGTATGTCTGAAGTTAATAACTTAACCTGAGAAGGTGAACATTATATGAAAACAAAAATACTAAAAAAAACTAAAATGAAATTTTTAAATATTTAGAAAAATGTGTTTCGGATTACTTGTAGATTATAGTTTGGGGCATTTGTAAAGTTTTTTAAAAATATCGATTCTAGTATAGCTTAGTACTAGTATTCTTTGTATGGCTTATAATTGACAGCTTATTTGAGACATTTCTCTTTTAATATAACTGTTGAAGAGATATTAATATTAATAAATTGAAAATTAATTATTTATTACAATATTTTTATAGAATGACTCATTCTTTCCATCTCTGAGTTGGTCGACAAGAATCCAAGGATTTGTCATTTGTTTTATATTAGGATTTGTATTGTCTATAATCGGTGGCGCATGTATTGCACTCCCAAAAGGATTAATACTTTTTGCATTTTTCTATACACTCGGAAATGTCACATCAATGGCCAGGTTTTGTTTGTTTTCACATTTGTCTTTTAGTTATTTAAATTCAATTTAAACAATACTCTAAATCAGAGTCTCTGATCCCTTTCACATATAAAGTGTTTAATACATTATGGCATTATCTACTGTAGTGTAGAATCTCATATATTATAATGAAAAATGATTAACGTATTAATAATGGGAGTTATCTTTTGACCAATTTTATTGACATATTAGTGCACAAACATTGATTTATTTTTAAAGAATCTATTTTTGTAACGAATATTGCCTATAATTTTTGGTCCAGAATATACAAGTAGATTAAACTGTAGCTGAAGTTTCTTAGAAATATTTACACTTTATTTTGATTGTGAACTAATCCTATTAAATATAAAGGAATTGTGTTTTAAGCAAAACAAGAAATATTAGAAATAATAATTGAATTAATTTTGATTGAAATGTCAGCACAATGTTTCTGATGGGACCCTTTCGACAGATCAGGACTATGTTTGCAAAAACCCGAATCATCGCTACATTAGCCGTATTTCTCTTCATGATATTGACTTTAATGGCAGGCCTTTGGTGGCGTAAAGTAGGTCTGGCCATCATATTCTGTATTCTTCAATTCTTAGCTTTCACGTGGTATGCATTCAATTCAATATTCTGTATAAACATACATAAATTACTATAATATATTTGTTTTAAGGTATGCTTTATCTTACATCCCATTTGCCAGAGATATTGCCAAAAAGACATTTTCCAGTTGTATTTGAATCGTTATTTTTAAATGAATTGTTCAACATTTTATAATAAAATTAATAAATTTATGTCCGTTTTATTACAATTAACTAATCTTTGTTAATAATTTAGAAAAGTATAAAGATTATATTTAATACACAGTATAAATGATAGATTTAGATAAAATTAGCTAATTAGTCATTATTCTTAAATTAATAACTAATAAACAGAATCTATGTTATATTCTCATGAAGTTTATAGTGTTTATTTTGATCTAAAAATGTGATTCTTTGTAATAATAGAGCCCTGGTAATCCCTGAACTATTCTGAGTAATTGATAAAAGACACATTAAACGACTTTCGTTTATTTTATGGTTAATATATAATAAATGATAGAAGTCTTCTTAATTTGAAGTTTTCTAAAAAGATAATTGATTTGAAATGTTTGTCTATAACTGAGACCAACTATTGTGAGAGAACTGTCACAAACAGAAATCATTAATGACACTCATTAACAAATTGAGCACTTTTTCAAAGTTATTTTTTATATTATTATAATCTTCTATACGTAATTCTTTTCAAGTTAAATAATGTGGTTTACTTACATTTTAAGTAATCTGTCTATATTTTATTTTTGAGATTTAATTTAATTTCTTATTTTATTCATAACTAATATTCATAATAAAAGAGAAACATTTTAAAATAATTGTCTCAAAAACATTTGAATTTAAGTGAAAACATATTTTTAAAAATACTTATTGGCACTTTCAAATAATTTTTATGTAAAATTTATATTATAACATTTTTCAATAATTTTTTTGAAAAATATGTTTATATAGAAATTTAAATTTAATAAGTAGAAAAAATTAATATTTAAGAAGTCTTATTATTAAAGAAACCCTTTAAAATAAATTAAAAATAAATGTAAAATTTGTAATGTAACTTTAATGTAAATTAATAAAATCAATTTTACAATAATTATTAAGATTTGGTTTTAATTTTATAAATACAAATAATATTTGAAGATATTTTTTTCATTGATATAGTTTATATATATTGTGTTGTATTCCAAAAATTTATTGATCACTTATATGAGAGAATGTTATATTTATAATACAGTATAATATTATAAAAAGATTTCATTATTTGAATTCTTCTCAATAATGATCGGAATGTTTAATCATTTAATGTAAGATTACATTTAAGAAACGCATATTGAATCTAAAATAAAGTAATAATCTTATGTTTTTAAGATATATCATAAGTTTCTTAAATTATATAAATAAATTCTAATGAATATGATATAAAATACTCAATAGTTTAGAGAGAATAATGTAGTAAAATATAAAGAATTATAGGATTTATTAATTTATTTATTTGTCAGTTGTTTTATGACAACATTTACAAAATTCTTACAGAAAACGTGAATTTAATATTAATATTCTGTGTAGTACTGTATATACAAAAATATTATAAGTTATATATATGAGAGCAAACACAATACCGGTGCGCATGTAAGGGTTGGCACATCTTTGGCTAAATGTTCTGTAAATTTAGTGGAAATTGAAGGCAACATAACTAGTGTTGACTCCAAGACATACAAAACAGTCTTTGTGTCAAACTTTCAAATATTTATTCAATTCTCATCACAACTAATCGTAAAAATATTTGAATTCATCAAAAAACAGTTGAGTTTCATATTTCTATAGAAACTTAACTATTTATTGTGAGTTCAAAATATTGATGAAAATATTTCATAGGTTTTACAGTTATATACATATAAAGGCATTAAAGTTTGAAGTCTTCGCACAAATTGAAGATTTGAAAGTAAGTACTCAACAAATATATTACTTTTTTGGTGGAAAAATAAAATTTTAGTTTATTATTTGTAATCAAATTAATCTATAAAATCAATTTCGTATCTCATTTCTAATTACAAAAATTATTATTATAATTATACGGTATATATTCACTTATATAAGTAATTTAATTGATATTCAAATATATTCAGTTTTATTATGCAATTAGTTATAACTAAGTTATCTCATATAAACATACTGTATGTGTTGACTATTTATATTAAAAAGAAAAAATATGAAAATACAGAATTAATATGCATTAAATATTATATAAGAAATATTTTTAAAATTAATTTATTAATAAAGTTTTTTACATCTAAATGAATATTCAATTAGAAAATATATATTGAGAAGTTTTGATTTTCTAGTATGAAGCTTATTTTTATATGAAATGTTTTTAACTATTTTAAAATAAATCAAATAGTTATATTTTAATTCTCAATATCTTTCATTAATTAGTTAAATTAAAATTACTTTTAAACTTTTATTAGTATTTAGTTTCTATATTATTAGTTTTGAAAAATAAAGAAATTATTCTTTTAATTTTTATTAGTTTATATTTATTTTATGTATTTGTATTCAATATATTGGCAAAATTATTGTTGATACACACTGCACAGTTTTAACTGAAGTATATATTTATAAGTTAAATTTTTCAAATAGTATATTAAAGCATATAAACAATTTTATATTTCTGTCATTTGTTTTATTACAATATTTTTATAGAATGACTCATTCTTTCCATCTCTGAGTTGGTCGACAAGAATCCAAGGATTTGTCATTTGTTTTATATTAGGATTTGTATTGTCTATAATCGGTGGCGCATGTATTGCAGTTATCCCAAAAGGATTAATACTTTTTGCATTTTTCTATACACTCGGAAATGTCACATCAATGGCCAGGTTTTGTTTGTTTTCACATTTGTCTTTTAGTTATTTAAATTCAATTTAAACAATACTTTGATCCCTTTCACATATAAAGTGTGTAATACATTATGGCATCCTAAACAATCATCTACTGTACTGTAGTGTAGAATCTCATATATTATAATGAAAAATGATTACTGTATTAATAATGGGAGTTATCTTTTGACCAATTTTATTGACATATTAGTGCACAAACATTGATTTATTAAAAAAATCTATTTTTGTAACAAATGTTGCCTATAATTTTTGGTCCAGAATATATAAGTCGATTAAACTGTAGCTGAAGTTTCTTAGAAATATTTACACTTTATTTTGATTGTGAACTAATCCTATTAAATATGAAGGAATTGTGTTTTAAGCAAAACAAGAAATATTAGAAATAATAATTGAATGAATTTTGATTGAAATGTCAGCACAATGTTTCTGATGGGACCCTTTCGACAGATCAGGACTATGTTTGCAAAGACCAGAATCATCGCTACATTAGCCGTATTTCTCTTCATGATATTGACTTTAATGGCAGGCCTTTGGTGGCGTAAAGTAGGTCTGGCCATCATATTCTGTATTCTTCAATTCTTAGCTTTCACGTGGTATGC